TTGGGTGTATTGGTCTTTGCTTTATGGCCAACACTGCTGCCAGTAGATGTGTTTTGCTGTTGCTGTTGTTGTTCGCCTCCAAGTCAATTTTGACTTATGGCGATCCTATCATAGGGTTTTCTTGGCATGATTTGTTCAGAGGAGGCTTGGCATTGCCTCCCCCTGAGGCTGAGAGAGTGTGACTTGCCCAAGGTCACCCAGTGGGTTTCTATGGCCAAGCTGGGAATCGAAGCCTGGCCTGGTCTCCAGGGTCGTAGTCTAGCACTCACACCACTACACCATGGTCCCTCTGTTTTTGTTGTTGCGTACCTTCAAGTCATTTCCGACGTATTGCAACCCTAAAGTGAACCTATCTTGGGGTTTTCTTGACAAGATTTGTTCAGAGGAGGCTTGCCATTGCCTTCCCCTGAGGCTGAGATAGTGTGACTTACCCAAGGCTGAGTGGGGATCTACTCACATGGATGTCTTTATTGGTCCTTTATGTGCCCTCCTGCTTTCAATGGGTCTGACTTCCAAATAAACCATGCACAGAGTTTAGAGAAAGCTTAGTATGGAAAGAGATCTTTAAGACTCACTGAAAGAAAGAAGCTGGTAGCATGAGCTTTGGTAGACTCGAGCCTACTTCCTCAGATGCTTGTTTGCAGGGTGACCAGGTGCCCTAACCACAAAGGAGGACAAGGCACCGCAAAATGGAGGACCTTCAAGACAAAATGCAAGGCGTGACCAAATAAAAGCTGAATACACTCATATCAATGTAAATTCATGCTTCTTAGTCATGCTCAAAATGGAGGACGTTTTGGAATTTCTCCTGGACAGAAGGTTGAAATGTAGGACAGGTCCTGGAAAAAGGAGGACACCTGGTCACCCTGGTTAATTGCACCTAAAATCCACAAGGCTTTCCTTCCAGGTAAAGGTTAGCAAAGTATCACCCTTCTGTGAAAGAACTGGATTCCCGGTTCCTGACAAGCCCCTCTTTCTCTACACATACCTTTACTCTCACCTTACTACCTCTTTTGGGAAGGGCAAGGTGACCATATGTCATCACTGCAAAGGAGGACCAGAATGGAGGACCTTTCCAGAAAAATGCAGGACATTTCAAAACAAAAGCTAAAAAAACACTCTTAGAAATATGAAACCATGCTTCTTATTCCTCCTGAAAGTGGAAGATATGTTGGAATTCCTCCTGGACAGAAGGTTGAAATGTAGGACAGGTCCTGGAAAAGGAGGACGTCTGGTCACCCTGGGGAAGGGCAAGTGGTATGTATTTCATAGTCTGCCTTCTCTCTCCTTGTGTCTCCTGCTGCATTGCCACTGTGTGTGCTGATCTTTGTCATCCTGGCCAAGGTGGCTGAAATTTCTGAGATGGAAAGAGAAGGTGAATGTGTGAATGTGCCTTTTGCTTGTCTGCCTGTATGTGTGCATATGTATGGATGTGGCTGATTGTCAGAGATGGAAAGAGACCATGAATGTGTGAATGCAACCTTGGCTTCTCTGCCTGCCCATGTGCATATATGGATGGGGCTGAGTTTTGGAGATGGAAAGAGAAAGCAAACGTGTGAATGCACCCATTGGCTTGTCTGCCTGCCTGCATGTATATGTATGGATGTGTCTGAATTTTGGAGGTGGAAAGAGAAGGAGAATATGTGAATGCACCCATTGGTTTGTCTGCTTGCATGTGTATATATGTCTCGATGTGACTGAATTTTGAGGTGGAAAGAGGAGAATTTGTGAATGTGCCAGTTGGCTTGTCTGTCTGCATGTGTGTATATGAGGGTTGCAGACTGCCAGAAATAGTGCAAATTGAGTCCACTTTTAGGGTTAGGGAATCATGAGAACTGTATTTTATTGTGGCACCAGAGCTCTTTGACAGAGAAGGCTCAATGTCTCAGGAAAAAAACAATTCCCATGATTCCCTAGCACTAACCCTAACCCTAAAAGTGGACTGAATTTGCACTATTTCTGGCAGTCTGTAACCCCCCTATGTCTCGATGTGGTTGAGTTTTGAAGATAGAAACAGAAGGTGAACATGTGAATGCATCTTTGGCTTGTCTGCCTGCACATGTGTGTGTGTTTGGATGCGGTTGAACTTTGGAGATGGAAAGAGAAGGCGAACATGTGAATGCACCCATTGGCGTGTCTGTCTGTCTGCCTGCATGTATATGTATGGATGTGGCTGAATGTTGGAGGTGGAAAGAGATGGAGAATGTGTGGATGCACCCTTTGCTTGTCTGCCTGTATGCCTGCATATGTCTGGATGTGGCTGAATTTCAGAGATGGAAAGAGAAAGGCAAACTTGTGAATGCACCCATTGGCTTGTCTGCTTTCACGTGTGCAAGTATGGATGTATGTGTGTATAAGAGCCAGCCCTTATGGGGACCTTACTGAGGCTCACACTTCTCAGCAGAGACTCTGGGGATTGGGGTAGCATGGCTTTTGGGGTGCATCTACACCAGGGGTAGGCAACCTTTCCCCTTTAAGGGCCGAGGGACTTCAGCTCCCAGAATCCCAGGAGCTATTGACCAACATGGGACTATTGGCCAACATGGCTGAGGCTTCTGGGAGCTGAAGTCCCTCCGCCCTTAAAGGGGAAAGGTTGCCTATCCCTGATCTACATGGTATAAACAATGCAGTTTGACCCCACTTTCAGTGCTGCAACTCCATCCTATGGAAATCCTGGGATTTGTAGGTTTACAAGGCTTTCCCTACCAAAGAGTACTGGTGCCTCACCCAACAACAAACCCTAGAATTCTGTAGGAAGAGCCATGGCAGTTAAAGTGGGGTGAGACTGCATTATTTCAACAGTGGAGATGCACCAATGTGGTCCTTTACTCTGGCAGGAGTCCTGATCTCTCCCTCTGCTCCGGCATCAGCTGGATGTCATCACTGCCTTGTAGTCGTGACCGGGAAAAGACCGCCTACGCATCATCAAAACCCTCGATTTTGCTTCTCTTTCCTGTGCATCATGCTCCTTAAAGGGGAAGCTCGGTGTGGCAGTGTGTGCAAAAGGAAAGGTGTGTGAGAGAGAGGGAGACAAGGTGCATGCTTTTTCCACCTCCTCAAGCATGTTCCTTTCCCCTTCTCTAGGTTTAAGTGTCCATGATGGATGAAGGATGAACATGATGCATGCCTGCGGTGCAATCTCTCCAAGCACCAGTGGGAATAGTACTGTATTTAAAAGAATTGTGAGCCATAGCCATAGTATTAGTCTGGACCATCAATGTGCAAAGGGATCTTGCAG